CGAGCCTGCCTGCCTGCACGGTCTGCCGGTAGGTCACACAGCAGCGGGAGGAGGTGGCGGGGCAGTGCACGGCACGCTGGAAGCCCACGCCCCGTGCATGGTTGCACCCTGTTAGGTAGCAAATTAAAACACCTCAGAAATGTTTTATCTTCCAACGTCCTGAAGTCATATAAAGAGGATTATGCCACCGAGCGTGCAAATAGCAATGCCATTAAAGCCGAATATACCACTGAACATGATAATCGCAACTTTATTAAAGCGGAACATGCTGCCGAGCACACAAACAGCAACGCCATTAAAGCGGTGCAAAAGAGCATTTAAGCTACTTTAAAGGCCAATTTTGTGGGATGTACAAAGGCCCTATTACTCTGTTGATCCTTTGTGGCCAGCTTTGGAGAAGCGTAACTTAGACTTTAGGCCTAGCTGCATGTAGCCCTACCCCTGATACTGGGAAAAATGAGGGTCCTGAAGGAACCTCCACCTCTGAAATATAGCCCTCAGTGTAAGCAGGTCCCACCCACCCCGATTCAGGGGACCTTGAGCTTCAGGGTGCTGCTCAGGGTAGGCAAGTGACTGACAGACTGTGTGCACAGTGCTCCACTGGCCCTAGGGACACAGCAGAGCAGTAGATGACAGCAAGCAGGACTTTCTTATCTGTTGTCTTTGATGTCTTGTCAGGTTGCTTCTCTTATTCATGTACAGGCCTATATAAAAGATGTCCTGATACCATATTCTCTCCCCCCCACCCCTATTACAGGTTGAATTACATGTAATCTGAACTGGATAGGGGTGGAAATGCTATCAAGAAATGTAAGAGTTAAATCTGAACTCAGGTAGCGGTTATTATTAGTGGGCAGCCTCTGTCTTCTGAATAGCTATTTTTGTTTGACGTTGCTTTGCTAAGAAACCAGAGCAGCCGGTTGCCATGTCTGTAATGCTTCTACAGTACGTTCTGCTGCTGCATTAAAAAGCAACATCCACCTCATCCTGTAGGAATCAGCCAAGGTAACCTGTTTCCCCAACTATATCTACACTGCTAGTGCCATCAGGCATGGTGGGGCCAGCCTCTCTTTGCAAGTACCCCCTTTCCTCCCAGCAGACAAGTGTGTGCTGAGTGTTAGTATCTAGTGCCCCTACTTTGACTGTTGACTCTCCTGTGTGGGCTACGCTCTTCTTGGCGGGAGATAAAGAACTATTAAAGCCTTCACTATAAAAGAAGGTGGGAGCCAGAAATGGGTATGGAGCTTTGTCTTTGCCCCCACAACCTGCTAGCCAACCCAGCTGTGCCAGAGTGTCATGGGCTAGGTACATGGCTGATCTGAGCCGTCCAGGGTTTGAAAAGACTGGATTGTACATGAAAGCATAGCAGTTGGTCTACCTTCTGATCCGGGAACATACCAGAGAGACTTGGCTGAGACTGGGTTGAGGTCTAGGTTTCTTTAATGTAGCAAGGGCAAGAATGCTGGAAGTAGGGAAGAGAAGAAACAAAACCAGAGAGAGTCACAGAGGACAAGGAGGGCAGATGGCCAGGATGAGGGGAAAGGGAACTTACACCCCAAGCTCCCCCTCCTTTCAGCTGCCATGCCATCCCAAACTACTTAGGGACAAGTGCTGCATCTGACTCTGCCCACCCCACAGTGTCTGTTGAAACATCCTGTGACTCCCAATATTCATGCCAGAACCAAGCCCCTGCCCTCCCTCGTCTTGTTGCCATGCATTTGCTCCACTACCATTTCATGAGTATTAAGTAAAACCAGTCACATTAGACCAAGGATGGTCCAAGGGTTCAGTGACAATCACCCCCAGCCTGAACTATTAACTATTCACAGTCACATTTTCCTCAAGGCTTTGGTATGTTCACTATTTTCAGATACAGTCCAATGTACGTGGGGAAGGGGGTGGGGATGGGATGGGATGGGGGTGTGTGTTCCCCCCACTTCTCCAGCCAGTGCCAAAAATAGTATTTTTCCTCCTATTTTTCCATCTGGTACTGAAAATAGTGAAACATCATGGGAAGAACTGTTTGCAAGATTTCACTGGCCTGCTCCAAAAGCAGAAGGTGCCAGGTATGTCGGGGGGAAGAACAGAATATTCTCCAAGATTCCCAAACCGGTTTTGGAAACCTTTGTCATTCAGGTCGTGGGGAGATTAATGCTTGTCCCAGCAGCATCCAAGCTCTGAACTGTCTGAGATTCACCCATTCCAACACCCTGAGACATCATCCATCTCATTTTTGGTAACCGGGAAGCAAACCTAGTAACAGCCGTGTTGGTTTCTGCTCCATACGAAACAGAACCGGGTAGAGGGCTGCAGAATGGAAGAGGAGTTGGTGAAACAGAGCAAAGGCAGCCAGGAAAGGAATACTGTTATCTAATTTCCATGAGGGATTTTCACAAACCAAAGCACAGATTAGAGACTGTGAGAGAGCACTTTTTCCCCCATCAGCTGTAGGTCTTTGTGTCCCCTAGACCTTGGGAAGTAGTGACTTGCGCACTGACACACTCCTTGCTGTTTCCCAGGAAGAGGCACATGCTGCTTAGGAGACCCAAATTTACTCCCACCCCACATGGGCCCAGCATGATTGCTCTTTATATGACTATCAAGACTGTGAGAGTCTTGAGGTCTCCAGCTGGGGCTGCAGAACTTACCACTGATGATGAAGGAATGAGGCCCAAGCTCCTGGACTGCCTGATTTTTCACTTGTCTCTTTGCTGAGGCCCTTGTCCCCTGTGGTTTTTGAGGTCTGCTGCACATGATGGCACTGGAGAAGTGGAATTGTCTTTATTTAGCATGGCTGGGACATGAAAGGAAAATAAAGCAGAGAAGAGAATCCCCCCGAGGCACTTGGCTGTCTTGAGAGGTGACTATAAAATGCAACTGTGCTCTGAAAAAGCAGCTGTGAGAAAATGCCATTCTACGATGCCATGTTTATAATCTCCCAGGGACTCTAATAAAATGGGTGTATACTTTTCCACCCACTCTAAGGATTCTGCCTTGGCTCTGATCATTAAGGTGGGCTCTTCCTCACCAGTAACAAAACCATTCTTCAGCTGGACTGTGATCACCAGGTTTGCTCCTGATGCAGTAGAACCCGATTATTTGTATCTGGCTGATTTGCAGCCTGCTTAGTTTGCAGTGGCTGGCTGAGCTGCGTAGGTGTTGGCTGCAGCTCTTGCTTCAGAGGGCACTGAGTCTGATCAGCTGGAGCTCACGAGCAGTCCTGCACAGATTATATACCTGTTCAATTTGCAAACCCTCATCTTCGCAGGGGGGTTAGCTATATGAAGGGTCAGAAGGGTGAAGCATCCAGGTTCTGCTGTACATAGCCAGAACTGGATCTAACTCAGACTCATAGGGATTTGCTTGTTTCTGAAGGGCCAACAGGAATGAGAGAGAGAGTAAAATATATATTAAAAAATAAAAACATTGCAAAGGAAAACACATTCAGGGAGCCAATCCAGTGAGAAAGAAGCAGCTAGTTTTATGAAGCTGCTTTTCAGAATAGAACAGCACTTTGAAACTAGTAGTAGTAGTAGATAAAAGTAACAACAATAATAGTATTAGTGTTCTTGTTGTTATTTCCTGTCTTAGATTCAGATGTTAATGAATACAAGCCTCCTGTCCTATTTCCTTTCATGCCTGGCCTGAACACTTCAGGGGACACTCTGAGCCTTTCATTCATTCATTTTGTTCTCAGGGAGAGGGTAGCAGCTCTGAACTAGCTTAACCACTGTGATGAGAACTCCCTGCCCAGGAGTTGCACGCTTTGCAAAGAAGTGCTGAAACAGCTCCTGCCCTCTCCCTGTGGCCTTCCGTGCAAAGGTGCCCTGATGATTCCAGCTGTGGGACTGCCTTGTGAGCTCATGAGCAGCAGACGTAATTAGAGCGACCCCAAGGCTACTGTAAGATACATTTTGGTGGCCGGACTGGCACTTTGGTAGTTCCAGGATGAGGAATACATAAAGGTAGCTTCCAAACCAGTTTTCTCCTCCTTCCATACTCTGGAACAGGAACTCTCCAGGTGGATTCCTTCATGGAGGTCCTATACTTCATGCCGTCAGGAGCAGAAAAGGCTTCCTCTCTCTAACCCCATGGCATTAGCCTCAGGGTCTCCCCACAAGCCCAGCAAATCTCTGGGAAATCCCAGAGCTGTTCAGGACTTTTGCCTTAACTCTAGCCCCAGCAGCAGGCCTTCAGGCTTTGACATTGTGGTCCTATTGGAGCTACTGTGGTAGGGACTTCCCTGATTGCGGCAGTCCATGGAGAGGACACCATCCCAGGCAATATTATGCGTGCCTTTTAAGCTCCTTGGGACTGAGGAGGGAAGACACTGGCCCACTCTTGTTTTCTGCTGACTTGACCAGACTTTACCCCTGTCATGGGGAGACTACATCTAGAATACCCTTCCAGGGGTGGGATTGTGCCCACATAGGAAGGAGCTTTCCATCCAGCTGACCCCTTTGGTGCATATACACAGAGGTAGATGGCAGAGTTTGGGGCCGTGAAATGATCTCCCAGGCACGGCAGTCAACATCACTGCTTGAGATCTCTCTGCCTTGACAGAAGAAAGCACTGGAGACCCTATAGCGGGAATGATCCCAGTGTTTCCTGCCACCCGCTGCTGGGGAGAGGGTCTAGATGAGATCTTTTCCGTCTTCTAACACACATCTGTGTAAGAGAAGCCGCATCTACTCATCAAATCGAGGAGTACGCGCACATCCCCCCACCCCACCCTTTCCTTCTCACATTCATGTAGCGCATGTGCCTCCCGAGGAGACTTTCCTTTCATCATGGAAAGAGGTAGCAAGCTAGGCCCGGCATGGAGAGAGCAGTTTGACTTTAATTTAACTGCAGCCATTCTCTGGTTATTCATTTGGTTCTTTTTTTAATAATTACATGTGTGTCAATATCTCTCTCTTTTTTTCTAGTTTTGCTCTTTTTTGTTTTTTCGTTTACTTTATTTTGCTTTTTTCTTTTTTCTGTTTTTTTCCCCCCTTTAGGTTTCAGAGAAATTATGTTGAATCCAATAAGCCTCCCCGGACATTCCAAACCTCTTAATCAAGGCATTTATGTTGAGGATGTCAGTGTTTATTTCAGCAAAGGACGCCATGGCTTTTAAAAACTCCTTAAAGGTCCCTGTTCTGATGTCAAGTTTATAGGCTGTGCCCTCAGAAAGGTGGGAAGCAGTGAGCGTGGTCTGTATGGATCGAGGTCTCCTCCTTGTAGGACTCTGCAGCCCCGCCTGTCCACACGTTAAAGCCAACTGAAACTGTGGTTTTCTGTCACCAGATAGCAGGGTTGTTCTTTTCCTCCAATGGTCGCTGTGTTCGTTCAATGTTCCTGCAAGGCACAACCGCGGCAATGAGAGCAAATAAAGAAAATTAAAACCCAATTTAAAGGAGCCATCCTAATAACACAGTAAATAATAGTACTTTGCTTTAAAAAAAAAACCAACCAAGCCAACCAAACCGACATCTTTAGTCATGTCCTCCCTGCTTGGAGATTTTTCTTGTAAGCTTGTGTCTTCACAACACCCAGTGAATGCTGCCATCACCCTTACTGTGGCAACGCAATGGGAGCTCTCCCAGAGCGAGCTGAGACGGGGAGCCTGGAAGATACAAAAGCAGAGTGAAGACTTTTGGTAAGAACAAAGGCAGACCTGCTCCCAATGTTTGCACAGGAAATCATGTTGGGAGTGAAGATGGGAAGGAGTAGGAAAAAAAAAAGCATCCTTCTTTAACGGAAAGAGAAGGTGGTTATTTTGGAAGTGCACGTGTTCTAGGAGGCGTTCTCTTTGATTGCGTGTTAGAGCAGCTCTTTGGATCTGACTATCTCGTTGTTGTACTTTGGTCTCTCCCTGCTGCTTGACCGATGAGCTTTATCTGAGGAGTTTCCTGGACTTCCCACATGGATGTGCAGGATGGTCAGTGACATTGCCAGGACTAGGGCAGTAAGTGAAGTGGAAAAGCATATCAGACACACGCTGGTCCCACTTAGGGGCCTTTTTTTGCCATTCCCTGAGCCCTTCCCTCTATTCCACTGAGCTAGAGATTTGCCATAACCCCGTCATGCCCACAGAACGATCAGCTCACAGTGGACAAACCGAAGGGGAAGAGAAATAAGCATCCTGTTGCTTCTTCTGTGGCATAAACAGAAATATTGATCCTGTTCTCTGGTCAATATTTGTATTTTCTTCCCTCCTCCTCCTCCTCCTCCCCCATCTTGTCTTACTTCCTCCAAATCCTCTCAGATGGAGAAAAAAAAAAAGGGAAACCCTTGATCGTATCTTCAAGAGAACCCAGCTGCCCTCCCAACAACGCGCCATTGGACTCGCCAGACCATGAATGAAGATGTGCTCTCTGGGGAATGAAGATTTGCTCACACATATAACAGAAAACAGATCAAATGAGGCAGATTTTCAGGGGCAACCTCCCCCCCGATCCTTCCCCAACAGATCCAGGTGTGGCCAGATCTCTTTTGACCGGAGTTGCCAACCGTGAGCTCTCTCACCAGCCAGTCACCTTGCTTGCCTCTTCAATGTACTGAGGCTTTCCTCCCATGTCAGGAATGTTTATAACTCACCGGCCCTGGTAGGGTGCTGCCATTGGAAAGCGAGATGGTCCCCGTCAGCCCAGATCGAGCAGAAGTGGCAGAACGGGCTGTTCTGTTGTCACCCAGAATTTAGGGATATCCCCCCATGCACCTCCTGGAGATGGCAGAAATGGTCTGGTCTCAGACTCACCAGGGGAATGTGCCTGTGGACCTTCCAGTCTCTTCTTTTACTGATTCACACGTGCAAAAATGTGAAGTGCAGTAGAAGAGAATATATATCTCTCTATATATAGATACATATCTATAAGTATATATAGAGATTTATATACATCTATATATATAGATATATATTTTAAAAAGGGTATCAATGATTTCTTTTAAATTAAACCCACGAGTGAGGGGGCAGCCGCATTAGGACTTGGGTGGCCTGGTTCTGTTCGGATCAAATAAGAAACCCTGACCAAAACTTGGACCGAAGGGCAGTAGCCAATGATATTTCCAACCCAAATTGGATCAGGAAATTTGGGAGACGTGTACCAAGAAATGACCCGTGGCTTTCATGATTTCCACCTCAATTTTTGCAGAAACTTCAGAAAAGCATCGAAAGCACAGGGTGCTGTGTTCAAACTGAACTCCCTGCCTTCTGAAATTAGCCCAGCCGATTTGGGGATGTCTTGTTCATCTGAACTGTTCAGCCTCCTCTTCCCTGGCACTGGTCAGGGGACAATGCTCTCCGCTGTCTGCGTTAGTCTTAAGAGACGTGTGAACCTGAGGCCTGAATCAAACCGCCCAGTCAGGGGAGGGCTGAATTCTGCAGCTCAGGCCCATTTCTGCTCAGAAGAGACCACACAGAATAATTTAATGCAGCTCTCCCCACTGTGATTGATGACTTGATTATATAAATACCAACTAAAAGTCTCTGGTTCCTCACTGCTGAAAACGAAAGCCGGTCATGGTCATTTTGCAATCGGTGGCTTTAAATAGCAAGTCTAAGGATTTTTATTTTTATTTTATTTTTTAATTATTGTAAATCATTACCTCATTTTTCTGTCAATGAGAATCCTCCATCCCTGAGCGTTCTTATCTTGCCATAACTGTCATCTTGTGCTATGGAAATGGGGACGGTCCCTTTTCACAGAGATTCTAGGGGTGTTCAATGTCTAGTTTCTTAATAAACACTTTATTTTCTAATGAAACAGCTGCCCCAGGTTTCTTCTTTGAAGACAAAATAAATAAAAGTTCAGAACAACGCATCCCATAGTCTACTTTTAATGACATGCTCCACGTACAGATTGTTTTGGGGGTGGGGCTGGGTGGGCACAGGGAAGGGAATTTACAGTTTCGCTTTGAAAGGTGCTCCATGTTGAGCGTTGGTTCTCGTGCTGGCTTTGGTTATGAGACTTCTCTTCCATTAGAGCTGGGGAGCAGCTGAGCATATGTTTCCATGCCTAGGGTTTCTAGCTCAAATGGCCTTCTACCCCAGGGCACAGGAAGTCAAGGAGCAACATAAGGGCTTGCAAAGACAGGCTCATTCACCCTGGAAGGAGTTCCAGTGGCGGCCCTTCATCAATTTATCTGGAGCCCTGAAGTTTGCATCAGCTCTGCATGCACTTGTTACTCAAGGAGCACTTTTGGAAGTGCCCCTGGCTCTTGCTGCTTCTGTGGAGGGCCTGTAAGAATGTGCATGGTGCCCTCTGAAGTTTGGGGCATGAAAGCAGCTGTTCCTGCAAGAGAAAGCTAGCCTGTGCTGACAACAGCTGTGATGGGAGTATAGAGCAGGGATGGAGGTGACCATGTTGTACTCAAGCTTTTCCTCCTCTTCGTGGAGAGGTTTCTCGGTGGCCCAGCAGTAGAGCTGAGATTCTTGGTGGTTTGAGGCTTGGCACACTGGAGGGACAGGGGTAGCCTCACTAGCAAGGCTGTTAAGAGGAGCCATCATTTGTATAACCCTGTCAGCATCACCGCACTGACCCCGCAGTGTCTGCAGGCGTATGTGTGAAAAGGGAGAGGAACCCCAGAGAGCCCCCATATGGAAAGTGTTTGAAGTGACATCGATAGATGCTTTTAGAGCAGGGTCACTGTAACTCTCCCGAGACAGCTGATGGGAGTTTGATGATTTTGCAATGGCCCCTAATGAGCAAAATAAAGCACCATACTCTGGTATCTCTCTGTCCCCTTAATATCCTGAGCTGATGTTCAGGTTTGTGCATTGCACAGATACTGCAATGAAGTTCCTGCTTTATTTTCCCTTCTAATGAGGAGATCTTTGCACCTGGTGAATGGGGCTGAGGAACAGATGGCAGCAGAGCCTATGAGCACCCAGAGTTTGCTTTAGGCTCTCCCTTACTCAGGGCTTTGGCTCAGTCTATTTAGAGAGGCAGGTGTGTGTTGTCTTGGAGGAAGGGGATGCTCCATGCATAAGATGTGCTTCACAGCCTGTCCCACTTGTTGCTGCAATGGGTGCCATATCCTGGCCTGCTTCTCTTCCCTGGGATGCTGGAAACAATTCAGTCTGTGGGAGCTCCCCCAGACACCCTCCCAGGGCTCACAGATCAATACTGCTTCTGGCAGGGACCTAATAAAAAATTACTGCAGCCTTTCATTGTGGCCTAGTTATAGCCAGATCTTAGTCTGCCTGCCTCACATTTCCAGGACAGCCCATTTCCCTTATCTATAAATGTCCATGCCCTCCGTGTGCTTTGGAGGCTGTGAACTCCAGAGAATCAAAAGTCATTAGGCCTTAGGGTTTGAACTGTACACAGGGAGGGTGGGATTGTGTATCTGCTTCTCATTGTGCTGGTGGCTGGTCTTGAGGTTGTGTGTATCTGATGGCTGGGCCCTAATGCTGGTGTTAGATCTCCATACTCATTGAGACATCAGTGCTGTCTTAGGAGGTCATGTCATAGAGAGTACTATCCAAGCGCCTGTACGAGGGAGCAGCATTTGTTGACTTCTTTCTGTGAGCTAGGATAAGGCTTACGTCACAACCAAAAAAATACTATGCCCTCATTGCGGGTGGGAGGACAAGACTGAACCCTGCTGGGCTGAGAAGCGGCACATTTCATTAACTTACAATTAGCATTTTTCTTTTGGAGATGGATTCCAAAGCATTTTGCTCCCAGTTTCAGTGGGTTCGGTGGGCTCTGCTCTGACTGCAGAGGACAAGTGTCCACATCACCAAGCCCTTCCTGAGTTCTTGAGGTGGGGCCCGGTAGCGTCTCGGGGCTGGAAGACCAGGCCAACACTGGCAGCTTTACAGAGCAGAAGAGGTCAGGGCTGAGGTCTGTTGTTGGCAGAACTGTGTGCAGGGACATCTCAGAGGCCCTTGCCCCTACTCTTGTCCTTCTCCTTCCCCCCCACTCCCCAGAAGATGGACTCAGAAATTCTGGCTTTTGTTTTATTGATTTTGGAAACCATTAGTGTATCCCTGATCAGTGCTTCTTTCTTTAGAAACCAGAAGAATTTCTTAGGGAAGGTGGTTCTGGCCCTAAACATCTGTATCTTTACAGTCTACCCCTTTCTCCATGTAGAGGGCAAGGCAGCTGGCTCAGTTCCCAGCACACTCTCTCTAGAGGTGAGGGTGGCTCCAAGAACTTCACTGAACTGTAGCGGAGCATCCGCTCTTCGCTTCGATTTGTACCCAGCGCGAGTTGCAGATCCCATGGGCTAAGCCCTGGCATTAGCAGAGGATAAAGAGCCCTCGATACAGTAGTAAAGCTTTAAACACAGGCTTGAAGGAGCAGAAGAAAAAGAGCACACGCAAGAAATCAATGCAGGGCGGCTTCATTTTTGTTTAACGTTTGGAACTGCTTTAGCTGTGGCTTATGTAATGAGCCAAGGAGTCCTTGTTACCTTGGTATTTACCAACGCCTTCAGGCACTGATCAATTGGTGCAAAAGTTTAACAAGCTGCAGGAAAATGATTGCAGTCACTTTGAAGGGGAAATAGTTCTTCTGATGGGCGCCTGGTGAGTGACATCACTGGAAGGTTGTTTAAGCTGGCGAGGTGACATTTTCTCCCTTCTGAACATTTGCGCCTTTTGCTTTGTGCTTATTTCTTTGAAATCTCTGCCATGCTCCCTCTTCCTTCCCAAGGCTACATCCATGCTCTCCCTTCTCTCCCTTTGACTGAGATGACCTGTCCCAGGCTCTGTGGCATAGTGCAAAACAATCTCCCGTCACATCTTTCTCTAGGGTGAGCTCATGCTGCTTCTGAAGTACTTGCAGGCCATACCAGTCACTGGGAGCAGTCGCAGAGACTGCATGTTCCCGCCACATTGAGTAATATTGGGCCAAAAAGCGGATTAGCATTTCTTGAGCATAAGGAGAGATCAGTCTTTCTTATGCAGTCTAGGACTTGGACAAAAAGAAAATCAAAGCATTTGGAAGGAGACAGGTGTGGCTGTCACAGCCTTCCCTAAAATGCTAATGCACATGAAACCCAGCAGATAGGAGTGCCAGCAGCTCTGGTTCCTGATGGTCTTCACTGGCCTGACATTACTTCTGTATTTTCTTCCCTTGGTTCCTACTGTTGTAGGAAACAGTAACCAAACTACTACTAACCAAACTACTACAAACTCAGCAGAGGAGCCAGCCTCCTAAAAGAGCAGGCCATGCAGCCAAGTCCTATCTCCTTTTCCCTTCCTCTAGTCACTGACTCTTTGGAGTGAATCCAGTTGCAGAGCTCTTTCTTCCCTCTTGTATTTGTATTGTGAGCCCCCAACACTTGCTGTTTAAAGCTGTGGCTGTGCACAGAGGTGGGCTCCTGATACCATAGTCCCTTTTGTGTGGCTCTGGTACTAACACTAGCAAACCAGGAACAACATCATTCAGCCTTACCTCAGACCGTCCATATTCAAGTTGTACAGGAAATGGCTCCGATCCATCTGTCCCGTAGCTCCACTGGCTTCAGGGGCTATGCCCCTAGGTGGTGTTTTGACCCAAAATGCCACCTTTCCATCACGTGCTCTGAATTTTAGGTTTTCTTCCTTAGTACTTCTCTGGTGCAGGAGTGATTAAATATTTAATGCCAGGAAAGAAACAATTGGCCAGAAGATCAAGATTCAAACAACTCAGTGGTTCAGCCGTGATATTTTTCTACCACTGTCAGACTCTCAAGTTGGTAGGTTCATCAGCTGATTAAATTTTTAGTGTTGAGTTTCATCAAGTTGGATGTGCTACGAAGGGGTTTTCTTTTTTTCTTTCTTTCTTCAGAGGACTTTGAGATGTTGCTTCCATCTGATAGGTAAGTTCCCACTCCTGTTCAATTAATGCAGACCTCTGAAACAACCAGTTAATTGAGTTTTTCCAAAGCAGAGCTTTAGGGTTAAGGTGTGTTTCAGTTCTCAGTTTGACACTGCTGGTAACTAGATGGCAGCGGATTCCTTTGTCAAATAAAGGTGGTGATTCTCTAGGAGTAAAGCAAAATACCACTTCCAAGATGATTGTGTCTGAACTTTGCTATTAATTCTGAACTAGCGGGTGTAACTACTGAATCAAAGGAATTCAGTCAGGGACCTGGTTAAACTCTTTGCTTTTGCATTAATGAGTCATGTGTGACCTGATCCTGATATCTGCAAATGTGCTAGCAAGTTGTAGAGACTTGCCCTGTGATTTATTCCCCCCGGATACCTTTCAGCTGGTTTTGCCTTCTGCTTTTTTCTTTTTTTCCTGAAGCATTTGCTTCAAGTTTTCTGTGGTGCGATTGGTCCCAGGCTTCTGTTTCCGATCACTGGTTGGGTGCGTGAAAGTTGATAACAGGAGAATGATGACTGTGGCAACCGTAAAGGTGCTCTTGAACCTTATTAATACTGCATCAAGATCTGTCCCTACCACAGTATTTCTCAACTGGGGATAGATATTTCACTAGAGGGGGCTGTCACCGTAACATGATAGAGGTTGCTACTGAGATAACCCTCTCTCCCAGTGGCAAAAGGAAAGAGGTTCAGCTTACACTTACTGCCAGAGCCTGTAGCTTAACTGATGCTAGCCTGATTTCCTAGGCTTCCTCCAAACTGATTTGAACAGAAGGAAAGGCCAGGACTCACATCCACTCCCTGAAGGACCCAGGAGGAGAAAGGGAGGAACGTGTGACTGCTGTGGGAAATACCTGCCAGGGAGAGTCGGAGAACCAGACTGGGGGTTTCATTCAGACACAGGAATCTGCCAGGGTGCCTGAAAAAGCTAATCCTGCTTATGTCACCAATGAATATGGGAGGGCCTTCAGTGAGATGGGCATGAGCACAGG